GCCGCGGCCACCTCAGCCTCAGTGATGGGCAAGCCCCTCCCAGCACCCTCGGACTCTGTGCCCTCAGATGTCTCAAAGGCAGTGTGCGTAGATGTATCTGAGGAAGTGTTGAGGAGGTCCTCAAAGTATTCCTTCCACCTCCGGATGATGTCCCCAGGTGAGGTCAACAGCCCCCCCCACTATAAATAGTAGGAACCAGGAGCTGCTTCCCCCTCCTGATATTCCGGATGGTTTGCCAGAACCTTTTTGAGGCCGACCGAAAGTCACTTTCCATGGCCTCACCGAACTCCTCCCACGCCTGGGTTTTTGCTTCTATATGTACTATTTATACATACATATATTTATCTAAGTTTACATATATATATATATATATATATATATATATATATATACACACATTTATATTTTTCAATACACTCATCCATATTTATGTTTCCAGATTGTTTGTATAATGTACTTTTTATACTGTACTGTTGGTACAGTTCTCATTTTATTGTTTTTAATTTTGCTGCTCTTATCTTGCACTGTCCACTTTTCTGCCGTGACGATGCAAATTTTCCACTTGTGGGACTAAAAAAGACAGATTTGCTGTGATCATCTGGACACGCTTCACTAAGAACTGTGCTGAGAGTTTCACTCCAGGAGAACACATGACCATAGACGAACAGCTGTTCTCGACCAAGGTTCGTTGTCCATGCAGTATATCGCATCCAAACCGGACAAATTTGAGATCAAGTTCTGGATGGCGACGGATTTGGAGACCAAATACGTCTGCAACATGTCCCCTTACTTGGGAAAGGACCCCAGTCGTCAGAAGGGGGAGAGGCTGACAGAGAACGTGGTCATGAGTCTGATGGAGCCATTTCTGGACGACGGGAGAAGTGTCACAACGGACAAAAACCTTCACCTCACTGTCAGATTGTTTCAGATTTTTCTAGCCAAGGAACTCCGTTGCCGAATGCAGGGACGATGGTCACTGGGTCTGCAAACACAGACTTTGAAACAGACAGACAGACTGTGTGGGAGAGTAACCACTGAGACAAAAGGCAGAAAGATGATGAAGAGATGAACCCGGAACTGAGGGACTGATAACATTTTTTGCTATTTTTACATGAACAGCCAGAGGAGAGAACATGCAAAGCTGGAGAGATCACACAAAAACAAAATTCACTTTTGGTATTATAATTCAGTGATCGCCAATGAAAATGAAATGACATAATTTTATTCTGTATGTGTATGAGCATGTCATCAACCATGGACCATGACTTCACTCAGCTTATGACATTTGTGTACAAACATACATTGGAGACTGAAGTGTTATCATGTTTTTATTCTATTCATTTCATTCTATTAGCAACTTTTCATTCTATTTTCACTCTATTTTTATAAATAAAACAGACTTGTGTTTCCATATATTTTGTTAATGTGTGTCTCATATTTGTAGGTCAGTCAGTATATGGGATATCTCGTATAGATATGGCAGGTTTTTATGAAGGTTTCCATGTCACACACAGAGGTTTGGCCTGCTTTGGATTTGACCTAGCAACTGAGTGAGTAAATGCAAATGTGCCAGGCCTCACAGGTAATGGGTGTGTTTGCACAACAAAAACAGGAGGACAGTGGAGCTGAAGGCCTGCGAAAACCTTACCTGGGGTCCTTCACTTCTGGCATGTTTTACCAGAAAATAAAAATCTCAGGGTTCCTAGTGCTAAGATTTGAATAACTATCTTCTGATTATATTCTTTAGCATCACTTTACTGAGTCTTTTGGGATATATTTCACTTTAAGCTTAAGATTTACCAGAGAAGACTAGCTAATATTCTTTGCCATTTTTGTGGACAAGGATAATCCACTTTGCAGAAAGGCACACAAGTAGATGTGAGCACATGCAGCATTGCTGCCTGTACCTCTACCAGTGCCTCTATAATTTGATTAACCATTCCAACTCCTGTCATTCCTTCTGTGCTTTGTACATTCTGTAGTGCTATGACAATGCATTATACTACGATACATACCAATAAAAGCTACTAAGGTAGACTATCAACAATGGCGTTAAGCTAAAGAGCACTAGATGAAACTTTCAAACTTTGGCTAACAGCTAAGCTACACAAGGACCATGCTGAATCATAATCAGCTTTAGTCTGTTTAAATAGGTCCATTTAAGATGTGCTGAAGTCTGAAATAAAGCAGGAGACGACACGGGAAGGCTCTGGCCTTATCGCAGACCACTTAGCAGTAGACTTCTTTTTCTGGAGTGGCAATGAAAGAATATTTTTCAGCAAGCGTAGGTGTTTACACAAAGTCTCCAGAGGAGAGCAGCTCAGACTGAGAACAGCCAGAACCACCTCCCTACCATGGTTCGAATTACGGGGGGTACTGTACCCCCCGATCAAGACCCAGACCCCCCCAAAGAGACAAAAATAGCAGTTTGGGGGGGTACTACCATTTTTCATTTGTTGTTAAAAAAAAAAAATCAGATCATCACCTTGTAGGAAAATTTTATGTAAAACGATTTCAAACACCCCTAATGTGGACCGTACCATTTTAACCACCTCGGCGCTAAAGGCAGGTTAGCCAGTCGGTTGCGTTATTCATTCTAATTGAGTGACCTGTTCGTTGTGTTCGTCGTGCATTGGTAACTGTAAGTAGCCTGTTGAAAATGAGTTATTTTACAACCTTCATTTATTCATTTAAGTGTTTCATCTACTAATGCAAGCTGACGTCTTTATAAGTAGAATTACTTACCATTGTCCTTCTGAGGCTGGTACAGTAAACGTTAGTTATGTTAACTAGCAAGATAAGTTAAGTTCTCTATTTAAACCAGGCTTATTTGGTGAGGTAAAATCGATCATGGTCATTTTCCAAGGAGATGAACTCCATATGTTTTCGTTCTCATTTTATCACGAATAAATTGTGCCATTCTGAAATTAATTTGCCACTTAGCCTGTGTGGTTTGTTATTAGGCTAATGTTAATGCATAAGAAGATCTAACGTTATGCTCTGAAATAAACATTACTATCAGTGAAACCTACTGTATAGGGGCAACGTAAAAAAAACTAGCTAACAAATAATAAGCCCTATTATTTGAATTTTAGTGGTATTGGTTCTGCACTCCACAATTTCATATTTATGGACATTTTTAGATGCTTCATCTCATAGCCCAGATACTGTTTTGTTAAACATATATTAGATTATTAACATTATATGTTAAACATATAAAATATATATATATTTTTTTATATTCCCCCCACATCTGGGAGGGTGGCGCCCGAGCGCCCTCTATGGGCCAGTTGCCACTGTGGTCATAGAAGTGTTATGAAGGCAGTACCCCCCAATTATGGAGGGGTAATTCGCACTCTGCGCCCAACCACAGTTCAACTGGGAAATCCAGGTCTGCAGTATAGCTGCTACCCTGCTACTGTGACAGTTCATAGGGTAACTGGCTCAACTGTATGGTCATCTTGCAGCTAAGATGGTAGCCGATGCAAACCCCTCACCTGTATGATGAAGTTGGCAGGGTTATGCATGCGGCGCCGCACCTCAGAGTAGGCCATGGTGAGACCCTTCTCGACATGCTCAGTGAAGCTGCAGACGCGTACGTCCACGTGGGGGGGCACGAACTGCAGCACTACAGGATGAGGAGCACCAGGTTTTCTCAGACAAATGCAAGAAACTCACGCCAACATAGAGTGCATGTGGACCACCCCCTCAGACTCCCACATGAGGACACCACTCACCCGAGTGAACCTGGTACTGGTTACTAGGCATGGGGTAAACGGTCGAGGCGGTGAGGGCAACGGGGGAGTCATGCTGTGACTGCCGCAGGGCATTGATGACTGCTGCTGCCGTGTACAGCACAGATCCCGAGACAACGCGGAACACGAAGTTGGGTGGGGCTTTCAGCACCTTCATGACAAACAGGACATCGCATCACAACAGAGAAGAAATCGCATCCCAACAGAAGGTAACAGTCATCCTTTCTCAGGCCAGCTGAAAAATACAAACCTTGCCCTAAACATTTATACAGAAAGTTGGAGATTCCAGAAGTGTGTGCTATACAAATCATTTATGTCATGACAAATTCTTTCTGATACTAATGTACAGGAATTCATTTAACACAGAAATACTGAGGGGAAGGCAAGGCTAGACCTTTTCATAATCACAAAACTGCTCTGAAAGCCGGGGAAATCCCAACAACCCTGAGATGACATTTCTCTGAAAGAATGGAAGACTTGAGGTTGGCAGCCTATTTGACCTAGCAGCCTGATACTGCTGCAATTTTGCAGTTGCAATTTGTGGAAACCCAGCTGCCAGAAGAAAAAGTGGAGTAGGATCCCTCCATACATGCAGCTCCACAGAACGGTTGAATTCTCTCTTCAAGATCTCCCGGAGGTGTGATTTGGCATACCCAGTGGTGGACTCCACAGGAAAACCTGAGTATATGGAGATGAGATGAGTTCAGCAAGTGGTTGAACCAGCCTCACTTGTTACTTTGCTATCATTTATTTCCATCTGCTTCACTTTCTCCTTAAACTTATACAAGGGTTACAAGTATTATGCTTAAAAAATAAACATTTTACAATACAGTAGGAGATGAAAGAATGCATTACCGACTCTGATCAGGTAGGAGTCCGCCTTGGAGATGTTGCACAGGTACTGTCGAGGTGTTGTGGAGATGACTGCTCTGGTGGTTGTAACCAATGGGGAAGTAGTAGTAGTCAGTGAGGTGGTGGGGGTATAGGGCTTATTTGGGGTTGTTTTCATGGACATAGTCGATGCCATGGCCGTACTGGCTGTGGGTAGCCACTCATCAGCAGTCACTGCTGGGAACTCTGATGCGATACCCGCTAGAACAAGGGTCTGTTCAGCCATGGCAGTGGGGTTGGACCTGGTATTAGGAGTCTGTCCAGTTGCAGATGCCGTCACCTTTGGTAAATCAGTCAGCATGGGCGTTGGTGCAATACCAGCTGTAGGGGTGAAGACTGCAGCTGAGCTGGGGAAAATCGGGGAATCATTCTGCTTCATTTTGACAGTGAGCTGGACAGTGCTTATATGGGAACTGACAGTGGCAGTATCCAGTGAGGGCAGATTTGAATTCATTTGTACAGCATTGGATTCCAGACCATTCCTAAGAAGGGTAGAGAGAGACAAGTATGGGGCCGGCACAGCCGAAGGCTCTAGCAAATGCTCTGGGCCATTCACTGCTCCGTTTTTTGATCTGTCTGTAGAACTGAGCATTTCTGCCCCCAGCACATCTGTGGAGGACCCCTCTGTAAAAGAGCTTTTGTCTGGGGATGATGACTTGTAGTCCATGTCCATAGCAACAGAGCTGGTAGGGGCAATGTGACTGGCCTCAATGGAAACGTAATGAACCGAGAATGTCAAGTTCCTCCTCTGTTCAGCCAAGCTGCCATTCCCTCTTGTCAGAAGATTGGTGTAATACTCCAGGCTGTTCATGTCAGGTAACAGAATCTCAGTTGGTTCAATAGAGTAGGTATCAGTCCAATCTAAGTCATGAGATAGTTTGACCTCATTGTTTAGGGATGTGTTTGGCAGTTTGTGTGTTGGGTGACTATGAGAGAGTTGGACTGACAATTGATCTGCACTGTGCAAATTGGCACCATAGGCCACCGTGGCTGTATGCGAACTAGAAATGCGGAGTGAAGACAGTGGCAGCACCACCCGGGAAGGGAACAAGGTGTCATAAACCTCAGCACTAGGTGCATCAATGTCATGCGTGCCAAAGGGCAGGCTGGTAGCCAGACGGAATTCATCTTCTGACCCCATGAGAGTCAAAGTCTCCAAGTAGTCCCCTGATCCCCAGTCAGCCTCTACAGTCTTAGATGGGTAGAAGTGCTCAGGTGAAACTAAGGTACGCTCTCCAGGGGCTGAACTGACATGAAGTATATTGAATGGTATGAAACTTGGAGTTACTATCACTGGGGGGGTTAAGAACAGAGGAATGCCTTGGGCAACATTATTATGAGGCAAGCCATGTGGAACCAAGCCTTTTACTGTTGGGGGCCCAGAGAACCATTTTATAGGCATTGAGGAAGTCTCACCTGCTCTAGAACCTCTGTGCTTAATAAAGGTGCTTACTTGTTCTCCAATAGAAGCACCTGAATGGACCGATGGGGTAACTAATCTCAGAGGAAACAAGTGACCTGAAGGAAAGGGGGCAGAGTGTGGGTCTAGGGGGGCAGGAGTAGATAAAGAGGTGTCTTGGGGTCCTGAGTTTTGGGAGGGCAGTAGACCCAGGTCAGAAGCTTGGGGTTGTGGACCAATTAGAAGAGCCATTGCTTTTCCCAGTGGAAGACCTGTTGGTCCTGAGGCTTCAGATGATGAAGATGATAAGGATGATGACGATGACGAAGGAAAGGCAGGGTGAAATTCTTTTCTTCTTGATGGTCCATTCTGCATGCCCATTAGCATGTTAGAATCCAATAAAGATCCATCTGGGTTAAAGAACAAAGGAAAACATCAGCAAAAACCAAGTGTGGCTGATGGTAGCAGAAACCAGCACACATCTGCAAGAAGAGATGAATAACTGGCAGTCCAAATTAAAATAATTTGAGATAATTTGAAATGACTGAATATGCATCAAACACAGCATCCTATGACATCTGACAATGAATAAAAAGTTAGAGCTACCAGAAGGTCATCAATCATTCTGCTGAGAACAAAGACCCAAACAAAGCTATTCAACTGAACGAGGTTATTCACCTTAACAAGACTGTTCCTGACACCCATTTGGTCATTCTGAGGGCAGGCAAAAAAAAACAAAAAAAACTGATCAAACGGATCAATGAGTTTCAATTGAAATAATGTGAGGCTAACATCCCAGGCTGCCAGTCTCAAGCCATTCTGCTTGTATGGTGTACAAATAAAGGAATGGCAACACAGATTATGTGATATGGAGAGCCATGCTCATACATACTGTGAGGTATCCATTTAGAGAGCCTTCTAGGATTTGTCAATAATGGCATTAGTGGGATGTCATCTAGAATCATCAGGGGCTAGATAAGCTACATATTAAGAAGCCAAGATAGCCTGTGAGTATATGAGAATATGAGGTCCTTATACAATGTGCTTGACTGGAATTACTCCAGTAAAATATCCATCTAGACTGCATAAACAGGCATAAAACCCCATGAAATCCCAAAGTAATTCTAATTTGAACCTTTAGATGGAGCATTCCCACAGAGAAGCTACTAGAACCACCATGAGAAAAACTGCTGTAATATGGTTTTAGATCACAATTTACCAATCATGTGTGCAAACATTTAACCTGAGCAGGCAACACTCATACTAATAACTGTAATACATAAGGTCTGACCCCAATCACAATATTTCAAAACCATCAAGATTTGTCAAAGCTAGACTTCAAGCAGAATTTCAGTTAATTCTTAATTAATATGAAATAATGTACTGAAATATGCCTTCTTGGCCATTCCCTGGGATATAAGGTAGCAAACTCAAACACAGTGGTGAATACCATAAATCTGTAATAGAATATTTAGCTTCACCATTACATTCATTTAATACTTTGTCATTAAAGCTGTCTTAAAGCTGCAGGAATTTTAGGAACTGTGGCAGCTTGGATCAAAAACTGGCTAACTGATAGGAAGCAGCGAGTAGTTATTAGAGGCACTATGTCACAGTGGGCCTCCGTTTATAGTGGGGTACCGCAGGGTTCAATTTTAGGACCACTATTGTTCCTAATTTACATTAATGATATTGACACGAATACATACAGTAAACTGGTTAAATTTGCAGACAACACTAAGGTGGGCGGGGTAGCAGATACTAATCTAGCAGCAGAGAGGCTTCAACGGGATCTGGATTTAATTAGCGAATGGGCTGATACTTGGCAGATGAAATTTAACACAGATAAATGTAAGGTAATCCATGCAGGGAGCAGAAATATACAGTACAGATATTTTATGGGTTCCACTGATTACGAGAAAGATCTCGGTATGTATGTTGATGCTTCCATGTCCCACTCTCGCCAATGTGGGGAAGCAATAAAAAAGGCGAACAGAATGTTGGGTTATATCTCTAGATGTGTGGAGTTTAAGTCAAGGGAGGTGATGTTACACTTATATAATTCCTTGGTAAGACCCCACCTAGAATACTGTGTGCAGGTTTGGTCACCATACCTCAAGAAGGACATTGCTGCCTTAGAAAAGGTGCAACGAAGAGCTACAAGAATGATTCCTGGTCTTAGAGGAATGTCTTACGAGGAGAGGTTAGCGGAACTGAATCTGTTCAGCCTTGAGCAAAGGAGACTAAGGGGGGATATGATTCAGGTCTATAAGATTCTAACGGGTCTGGATGCTGTTCAGCCAAATGACTATTTCAATATTAGTCTAAATACTAGAACTCGTGGCCATAAGTGGAAATTAGCGGGAGAACATTTTAAAACAAATTTGAGGAAGCACTTCTTTACACAGCGTGTAGTCAGAGTATGGAATAGTCTTCCTGCTATTGTAGTGAAAGCTAAAACCCTGGGTTCCTTTAAATCAGAGCTAGATAAGATTTTAACAACTCTGAGCTATTAGCTAAGTTCTCCCCAAACGAGCTTGATGGGCCGAATGGCCTCCTCTCGTTTGTAAATTTCTTATGTTCTTATGTTCTTATGCCTGTAATTGTTAAAAATATTTCTCAAATGTAAAGTACATAAATCTCAAAAAATATATTTAAAAAACATTTACAAAAATGCAGACAGACATCATAGTGAAAAAAGTTACAGAGAGGTCAGGGCATCTTAGAGTATACTGTTTAAAAAATTTTCATTTTCCATATTTGATTGCAGATTTTTGCAGTATCTGATTAGTCCTCTGTGCTTAAACCCACATTTAAGAAATATTTCTGCTGGCTTTTATTTCAAAACCACTACTTCTTTCACTATTTCTTTTAAGGCCAAGAGTTGTCTCTTCAAAAACTTGAAAAACTGTATTTTCCCCAGGCGCACAGTGGGTAATTCACTGAGATATACAAGAATGTCGCTACCAAAAAGGCAATGGCACCAGACACCAAAATGATGGATGATCTGGGCCCTTCCAGATCGATCTTTTCCTGACCCAACCTTCACAAAGGACACAGCTGATCACCCAGATGCACAAAACGGACAATAGTGCTGAATAGCGTCTTATAGAACAGTATGGAGCACGTCATACACGTAAGAATGAAAACTGCCATCTTACCATGTTAACGGCTTAACATCTAAAATTGCATACACTGTGGTTTCAGCATTAATCATACCTTCCAAGATCATTTTCAATTCTTTTTAATTACCACTGAACCCTGGACTGAATTCAGTCAATAATATCATTAGCAGTAATTAGCAGTCTAACTTTGCCAGATGTGAAGACTCCACTGCATGTCACAGAGGGGATCAAAAAAGTTAATCTTGCCATTTGCATGAGTATATTGGAATGCTTCTTTCCATATATTAGAACATAAATTTACAAATGAGAGGAGGCCATTCAGCCCATCAAGCTCATTTGGGAAGAACTTAACTAATAGCCCAGCGTTGCTAAAATCATATCTAGCTCTGATTTAAAGGAACACAGGGTTTTAGCTTGCGCTACACTAGCAAGAAAACTATTCCTAAAGTGCTTTCTCATATCCAGTTTAAAATGTTCTCCTGCTAATTTCCACCTATGGCCACCAGTTCTAGTTTTTAAACTAATATTGAAGTAACTATTCAGTTGAACAGCATCCAGACCTATATCATATATTCCATCTTGCTCTCCAACACACACACACACATATATGAATTTTATGATTAATCGCAAGCTTGGTTTTCACGACTCGATATAGATTCACAAAATCCCAAGATTGATCTAGTTAGTTTATGCTGTTTCTCTGTGACAGTGAAAATATTTTTGCTGAATTCTTCTTGTATTAATCTTCTTATCCTATCAGTGATGCTACTTTCTTACCAATATGAGGGTTGCAATAGTACAACAAACAACAAACAAATTTATTTTTGTATAGCGCATTATCACAACATTACATTGTCCGAAAGCGCTTAACAGCATCCCCACCCAAAGCCCCCAGTAAGTAAGCCATAGGCGACAGTGGCAAGGAAAAACTCCCTAGAAGGAAGAAACCTTGGGAGGGACCAGACTCAAAGGGGGAGCCCATCCACCAGGGGCCGGCAGGGAGAGTCAAATACAGTTAAATCTGAAACACAAATGGGGAGCAGGGGGGAGATGACAAGCCGGTGCCACCACTCCCTCCAATCGCCAGGCAGCCAGAAGGCAGGGAGTGGGTCATACAAGGAAGATGACACAGGCAGAACGGCGAGCTGGATGCACGG